TTCCTGTCAAATGTTTGGTAACAGGAACTGTTAACAGCTGTCAGGACTGATAACGACTCATAGAAGACGAGTGGTTCTAGGTTGATAACGTCCTTCGCGTTAACAGTGAAGTCTTGGCATTTCATTAGGTGGTCTGAGAGAGCAGGAGCCACTTATCAATCAAATCCTGTTCGCGATCTAACTCTGGTATATTTCATTCGATAAGAGGGATACACAGAAGAGACCGACCAAAATCACATCATTATGAAGAGATGAAAGTTTGGTTCACTCCTTGCTCTAAGTTAGATTACGACCGCGGTCCAGCAAGGTTTATGAATCATTGAGAGATCACGGTTTCCATTGGTTTCGAAACCTTTTGCTATAAAACTCATCCAACTGCCAGTATTCTATGATTCTCATTTAATGATATATCCGTAGAGAAAAGGCGGTCCACTGATAACGACATTTGATAACAGTGTTATCATCATTTGACAACATCTGTGAGTACCACTCGTGGCTCTGGTTGGACGGTTCAATCCTTGATGGGTGATATTGAAGAGGGCGAGTAGCAGTTTGAGACTTCTAATCATAGGCATAAGCACCGGCACATACTGAATACCACTTGCCTGCCTTGTTAGTCCTGTGTCCGACTTCGTGTTCAAAAAAGTATCATTTGTTTCAAAGAAGAAAAGATCAGTCAGCCGATTATGCCAACCTTGTCAAGGAAGCCCGGCCTTAGCCGAGCGATCCAACTGGTGATTTGCTTTGAGGAAGAGGAGGAATCTAACGATTTCCTCACATCAACACATTTTAATCACGAGATGCTCCATCATTACTCCAATCCGATCACAAAACGGGGAAATAAAGCCATGAATGAGCACAGCGGCACTCCTTGCCGCAAATAGTTGTCGGTGACGTCGATTAGTCACGACGAATTTCCTGAGGCCTTTTCAACTTGGCAACATGGGATGGAGACTGTGAATCACAAAAAACTCAACCTCTGGACGATTCCCGTTTTCCATGCCAAGTTGAAATGTTTCTGGTCGATATTGGTTTGTCCTTGTGAAGCATTTACCAATTTGGTGTGTCCCTGACATATGAATCGTAATCCGACCACATAGGTCAATGTGGAATTGAAAAACGATTAGAGAGGGAGCAGAAAGGACACATAACCAGTCTTGAATCCCGTAGCTGCTTTCATAGTTCGGCGTGAAGCGTCGACGCTCGATCGATTGGAGGTTGGTACGGACAGTCCTCGCTCCGCAGAAGCTATATCTGCGTCCGTCTTTGATCGATTCCCCACAAGTAGACAACTGATAAATAGAGAATAACATGCTCCAGTGCATGGCATAGATGTCCTCTATGGCACTTGACCCTTGGCGTAGGTGAGCTTTTTTGGGACACTGAACTTTGGAATCACCTCAATACTCCCGAGAAAGAATGTGTTCGCGGGCCTTTTGGAGGCTGACTCATTCAAAATGGAGCTCGGCGTAAAGACCGACAAATGATGCATACTAACAGCTAACAAAACAAATTTGGCTTCGGAATCTCGACAAAAAGCGACTTGTTCAGAAGAAAAGCTATATAATCAGGGGGTCAAAGCCATCTTCTTGTTTCCTTCGCTGTCAGTGGTCTACTCCCTATCGAAACGTTCCAGTATGATCGAACAAAGGTACACGGAATCATCACGAAGTAGTATTGCCTTCAAAAGTCTTCTGTAAACGTCCAACGCTCTTCGGAACATTCCTAAATTGAATACAATTGGCCTTGCATTCTCTCCAAGTTAGATATTAGTTGAGACCGATTCCAAATAGATAGCTTGGATCAGTACGTGATCCATCTGATACGCACCCCAGAACCAAGAACATCTTTTAATTGGCATCTTGCCGACTGACGCAGGCCTTTGCTACAGGATCTAGGCCTGTGAGGCGTTGTGTCTAGCAGAAGCAGAGGAATTTCTGTGATTGAAACGGCCGTCTAGTTTCATCCGCTATGGCGCCGAGGCCACACTTCGTGCTGAGTACAGCTCCACAACGATTGAGGAACCACAACAGCAGTCACTACCTGCCCGATTTGACCGATCTGAACGACAAAGGTTTCAATAGATAAACATCATGCCTGAAACGGCAGGAGGCATCGCCTTAGGCGGAACACAAATTTTGCGTAAGCTATGGGTTTTCTGAACTTCGAGTGATCATTCCGACTGATGCAAATGACCAATCCTCTTATGATTCGAAAAACTGTCTGCAGTTCGCATAAATTTGAAGCTAACTTGGGGCGAATCCGTATCGCAAAGTGCTACTACAGTGCGCCAGTGCAACTCGTCTGCCCCGCCAGCAGTGCAAAGGTGTAGTGGGGCCATCTATAAATCG